ATGTAGGTTTGTGTCCACTAAAGGAAAACCAGCATGTGAGGCTCAGACACAGAGAACACAGTGTCCTCAGCTGTCCTCAACCAGAGCGGAGCGAGAGAGAGAGAGAGAGAGAGAGAGAGAGAGAGAGAGAGAGAGAGAGAGAGAGAAAAGTATGAGGAAGTCTAAAACAAAGACTACGAGGACCCCTACCAAAAACACACAACGCACACTTGTCGTCAATAATGCACGTACACACACACAAACCCAAATGTCTCATCCTGCTGTTGAAAACCGTTTTGTTTGTCGGCTCAGTGACGACACACACGTGTGTGTGTGTGTGTGTGTGTGTGTGTGTGTGTGTGTGTGTGTGCACAAACACTAACAACCTCTGGCCTCACACATTCATTACAGCCACTGCTGACTGGACAACAATGATGTCGACACAACCAGCTGTAAATATTGTCTGACGTACGTGACCCAGAGACAATGTTCTGATCCAAACTGTGGTGTACGTGTTGTTTACTGCCCCCCCCCCCACAGCCTGCTGTTTGACAGCCTGTTGAATTCCACTGAGCAGCAAGTGGACATTAATTAATTAATTACATTAATCTCACGCTTCTGTTTAAACTTGTTTTTTTTTTTACCTCCACCAAGGACGTCAGGCTTTCGTCTCATTCGTGTGTTTGTTAGTTTGCAGGACTACAGAAAAACTGCTCAACCGCTTTCCACTAAACTTTCTTCAAAACCTGTGAGATGAGACGGCAACTTTTCCACATTTTCGTAGATTTCTTTCACACGTGGAATAATGGAAGTAATCTGACATGTTAAGAGGCCTGATATGTACGAGTGTGTGGAACTTGGTGCAGGTACAGTCTCTGCTGAGCGCCCTTCTACTTTCTACATTTGTTCTGATCACAAGTTACAATCTTGTATTTCTCTGCAACCATCATAAATATATTTCCCTCAGAATCAAGTATCTATCTATCTATTTATCCGTCTGTCTATCTGTCTGTAGATCTATCTATCTGTCTGTCTGTCTGTCTGTCTGTAGATCTATCTATCTGTCTGTCTGTCTATCTGTCTGTAGATCTATCTATCTGTTTGCCCGTCTATTACTGAGAGACATCAGATGAACTAAGTGGTACTACTGCATTTCGCAAGTGCTTTTTTTTATTTTTATTTTGTGCTATTTAGGAAAATATTAAGTCACAACACATAAACCTGCACCATGACACACACACACACACACAC